TAGAGGGTAAGAGGTGGGGGGAGTGGTATTGTTTCTCTTCCCCCTGGAGCCTCTGGTAGATTTGGAGCAGATGCTCTGCCTGGATCTCTAGGAGAGGCCCTGGCAATCTAAGTAAAGAAGGAAATTCATGGGAAAATTTCAGGTACTAGCCTTGATGGCCACAGAGGCATACCAACCATCCCCTGTTGTTCCTTATTCCCTTATTCTTTCTTTGAGCTGCAAAGGAAGTACAGCGAATTTAATTTAGAAGTCAGGTTTCCTTCCCCCTTGTTTGACATCTTTGCAAATAGAGAACTAGAGAAAAGACGACTCAAGGCAAATGGACATAGACTTTATAATAAGATTTGGAAAGGAGTAGTCCTTTGGTTTGAACTGACAGAATCACTGGGGTTTTTAGGTGGCATCTCACTGTCTGTAATTGGAACTTAAGGTTTGAATGGGAAAAAGGAAGAATAGTGGTCAGGAGATCTGACTTAGTACAAGGGTTAAGCATTTGTCTTGCATGTGACCCACCCTGGTTTGATCCCTGGTACCACATATGGTATCATAAGTACCATCAGAAGTGATTCTGGACACAGAGCTAAGAACAGGGGCCAGAAAAATAGTACAGTAGGCAGGGCTCTTGCCTTGCACATGACCAACCCATGTTTTATCCTTGGTAGCCCATATGGTCCCCTGAGCCCTGTCAGAAGTTGTCTCTGAGCACAGCACCAGGAGTAAACCCTGAACCACCCCCAAATGTGGCCCAAGCCCTGCCACCCCTGAAGAAATGGATCATGGTTAAATCAAATCTTACCTCCTCCGTCGGAGAGTATATCATCCCCTGAAATTTTCTGCTTGGCCTTGAGATTGGGCAAAATGGCATTATTTTATCCAAAATACTCTAGAGGTTCACTGTCTTTTTTCCCCCACTGGGGAACTTCTTCTAGGGGTTCACAGAGCCACCACATTTGGTACTGGGGATCAAACTTAGCACTTGCAAGATACCTTCTCTTACCACTTTAGCTTTATCTCTGGTCCCTTTCATTCTGATTTACTCATCTAGATCATTTTGTTGCATGCATGTTAGTTGTGGTAAACAAAACACTTCCTAATGTCTGGTAACAAAAAACCTAGAGATGCCTGTGTTCATTGGTAAGCCTCTTAAAACTTTTGTTGGGGGTGGGGCTATGTGGGTGGTTGAACCATTCCTGGGGATTCTCAGTGGGTGTTCCTGGCTCTCCAGTCAGGAGTGGTCCTTGCCTTTGCTTCGGGATCATATGCAGTACTGGGGATTGAAACTAGATCAGCCACATTCAAGACAAGCATCTTACCCACTTTTCTATCTCTCTGACCCCAACTTAATTCTTGTATTATAGTTCAACAGATGAAATAGTCAAAATTGGAAACATTGAACTTAAAAAAAAAAAAACAGCAACAACACTTTAGTTGGGGCCAGAGTGATAGTACAGCAGGTAGGGCACTTTCTTCACACGCAACTTACCTGGGGCATCCTGGATGGTTTTCCGACCACCTACAGGGTGTCTTCTGAGTGCAATCAGGAGTAACCTCTGAGCATCGTCAGATGTAGCCCAAAAAAAACCCAAAATTTAAAATTTTTTTTAAAAAAACTAAATTAGTGGTTGGAAAGAACTCAGTGGACTGAGTGTTTACTTTGCATACCAAAGTCCCTAGTTTGAGGTGGGCATCACATCACCTTGGCTGGGCCAGGAGCAACCCTGAGCACCAGGTTGGGCACATACTTTGCATGTGCTCAGGTTCAATCCCTGATACTACATTGTACCAAGCACAACCAGGAGTGATCCCCAAACACTGCACCTGGTGTTGCCACTCAGCAAAAAATCTAAAATAATATAAAGTCTTCAAAAATTAACTTAAACTCTCCAGGCCAATGATGAGGGTAGAATATATGTATGAATTGGAAATGTTCTTGAAATATATGATAGGATTGGAGGAAGGTGCTTGTGTAGGTAGATTGTGCGTTGGTTTGGTACCTCACACTGACTATGGCCCTTGAACACTGCCAGGAGTACTCCCTATCCCTGCAAAAGAAGTAAATACATACAAGAATAAGATCTTTTTCTGGATGTGCTGCATTCTAGAAAACTGTTCTTGCACTGGGCAGGGGGAAATGCTTATGGGGCCTACCTAATTCAGTTTTCCGTTTGCTCCCTGCCTCCCGTGTTTAAGACATTGTGTTTGGGGTTTTTTTTAATTGGTTTTTTTTGGGGGGGGGTCACAACCGGCGATGCACAGGGATTACTCCTGGCTCTGCACTCAGGAGGCAGTGCTCGGAGGACCATATGGGATGCCAGGAATTGAACCCAGATTGGCCACGTGCAAGGCAAACGCCTTACCCACTGTACTATTGCTCTGACTCCAAGGCATTGTTTTACAGTGCTACTTATAGTAGTTCACTGCATAGAATCCTCACCATACACACCGCCTGTGTCAACTTCTGTCCACCAATGTCCCATGATCCCATCCCATCCATCCCCTCTTTTTTTTTTTTGTCTGTTTTGTTTTGGGGCCACACCTGGTGGTGTTCAGGAGACCATGTGATGCCAGTGATCTAGTGTAACCCAGGATTCCTGCCTGCAGAGAGTATGTTCTATTGAAGTCTCCTATCCCAGTTCTTTTTTTTTTTCTTGTTTGTTTTAGTTTTACTTTATGTAGTAGGAATTGAACCCAAGGCCTTGTACATATATGACAAAGCATGTGTTATCCCACTGAGCTGCATGTCAGCTAAGCAACCCACCTGATTTGGTTTGATTGCCTTTACCTTATTCATTGGTTTTGGGCCATCTTGGATGCCAGGGATGGAACCCAATTGGCCACATGAAAGGCAAATAGTGCCCTGCCCTCTGTACTATTGCTCCAATCCTTATTGAGCTATATTTTTCCTGGAACCCACCTGATTTTATATGCTTACACTAGACTTTGGATAGCTAGTGTCTGGGTATGAGGGGAAGATATACAAGACAAAATAATTGTTAAAAGTGGGATACAGGGATGGAGAGATAGTACAGTGGGTAGGGTGCATGTGACCAACCATGGTTTTGTCCCCGGCACCCTATATGGTCCCCTGAGCCTCACTAGGTGTGGCCCAAAACCGAACAAAAAGTAGGTTAATTAAGATTAGAGAAATGGTACATTGGTAAGGCACTTGCTTTGCACAGCACCAACCCAGGTTTAATCCCCAGCACCCCATGGCGGGTGTGGTCCAAAAACCAAAAGAAGAAATTATTACAGCCCTTTCTTTGATGCATCTTATTTCAGGATCAGTTCAGGGGGGCCAGAGAAATAGTCTAGCAAGGCGAGCACTTGCCTTGCATGTGGCCAGCCAGGTTTTGATTTCCAGCATCCCATATGGTGGCCTGGTTGCAGAGCCAAAAGTAACCTCTGAGCACCACCAGGTATGACTCTAAAACAAACCCAAAAAATTAATAAATAATTTTTAATAATCAATTCAGGACCCAGAGCAGTAGTACAGCAGGTAGGGTGCTTGCCTTGCATGTGGCTGACCTGGGCTCAATTCCTGGCATCCCATATGGTCCCCCAAGCACTACCAGGAGTTATTCTCAAGCACTGCTGGGTGTGGCTAAAAAAAGCCAAAAAAAAAAATTCAGTTCAGGGCCTGGAGAGAGCAAACTCAAAGGGCTAATGTGTATGCTTTGGATGCGGGAGGCCCAGGTTTCATCCCCAGCTTCACATAGTCTCTGAGCACTGCCCCGAGGGACCTCAAGCAATGTGTCAGTAGTAGTCCCAGAGTAGTGTTGAGTGTAGCCACATAAATGAACTACAAACAAATCAGACTTCCTTGAAATTATTCAGAGCATTCATTATAATTTTGCTTAGTGTTCATGTTCAATGCTCTACTTCCCTTGGCAATAGAATAAGCATCATTCAACAAATTATGCCTCCAGTCAACCTGCTTCCTATAGGTGTTTTTTTTTGGGGGGGGGGGGGGTAGGGCTCACCTGACTGCGGTCAGGGCTTACTCCTGGTGCTGCACTCAGGGATCCCTCCTGGCAAGGAGTTGAGGACCACATAGGATGCCGGGGATCAAATCTAGGTTGGCCATATGCAAGGCAAACACCCTACCTGCTCCAACATCACTTTGGCCCCTATAGGTGCCTTTTGTGTTTCATTTTTAAGTGAAGCCTGTTTTCCACACATCTGAACTACAAAAAATATTTTTTTAAGTGCAATTTTTTTTTTTTATTGTTCTTACTGTTTTCTCCCAGCCCTTAGCCCCTGTTGTGGTGGTTATAATGACCTTGGTCACAGTTAGTTGTGCTCGTGCTTACTGGTCTCACTGCTCACCAGGGGTCTCACACTTTTTGGTTGCAGTGCTCTCTGGAGATCAGGAGATCACACACTTTGTTGTGGCACTGGTGGTCACAAATGTCAGTGGTGGAGGTCACTCTGGTCAAATGAGCCATGCAGGCTCGTTCTTGATATTGTTTGGTTTTACTTTGGGGTTTGGGGCTTTATCTGGAGGTTCTGGGAGATATTACTAGCTTGGTGCTCAGGGGACCATATGGTACTGGAGACCACAGCCAGGCCTCAAGCATGCAAAGCATGAGCTTTCTTCTTTGAGCTATTCCCCCTCCTCCCTTATTGTTTTTTGTATGTTTGTTTGTTTATTCTTAGATCTGTTGAGGTTCTATTAAAATTAAGATCTGTTAGCTTAGGAACAAAAATGCTAGTTATTCAGCTTTCTATCTGTTGTGGGGATGGAGGAAGAGGAGTTTAGGTCTCATTTGTCAGAGCTTACTTCTGTCCCTGCGCTCCAGGGTCACTGGGGATACTCAGGGAACCAGATGTGCTGCTGGGACTTAAACCTGGGTCAGCCGCATACAAAAGCAAATGCCTTAATCTCTGTACTATCTCTGTGCACACGTTTGTGTGTGTGTGTGCAATAAGATGTGATTTCATTGCAATTTACTTTGCAAATTACCTTCCTTGTTTCAACCAATTTCTTTATCCCTGAACAGTCTGAAGATGATGAGAAGCTGAAAAAGAGGAAGGAGAGATTTGGGATTGTCACAAGTTCTGCTGGAACCGGAACTACAGAAGATACAGAGGTAAGATACCCCATAGTGCTTAGTAGAACCCTTGAAGGGGATTAAGGGTGAAAAAGCTCAATTGGAAAAATACTTATTTCTTTCACTTATTTTTCTTCGTCCCTTATGTTGTGATGATTGGAGATCTCACACATTTAGTCATGGTGCAACAGAAATCATATGCACGGTTTGGCAGCAGGGATTGCCATGCAGTACCTCCAAGAGTTCAGTCAACCTATGTAACAGTCAACAGCAGTGCTGGGGATTAAACTAGGGGTGTCTTGTCTTGGAAGGCAGACAGATCACTGTGCCATATGTCTGGGCCTAAGCCTAAGCAAAGGCTTCTTTGGAGGGGGTAGGGGCACACCCAGCAGTGCTCAGGACTTACTCCTGGCTCTGCTCAGGGATTGACTGCGGTTTGGCTGCATGCAAGGCAACTGCCTTAGGGGCAGTACTATTTTCTCAAGCCCCCTGCTTGCTTTTTAAGCGCAAATGACAAAATATTTGTCCTTTGAATTTTTGTTTGTTTACTTACTTGCCAAGATCAGCTTGAAATAAACTTTGACTTGTCTTAAATCTAGTTACTGTTACTCCCCCTTTGCCAAGAAAGTTATTATTAAACACCAGATATGCTTATGAAGTTGGTACAGTTGACCTTTCAAAGATGAGGCTTGGGGCTGGAGCAATAGCACACCGGGTAGGGCATTTGCCTTGCATGTGGCCGACCCCGGTTCGATTCCCAGCGTCCCATATGGTCACCTGAGCACTGCCAGGGGTAATTCCTGAGTGCAGAGCCAGGAGTAACCCCGTGCATCGCCAGGTGTGACCCAAAAAGCCAAAAAAAAAAAAGATGAGGCTTTTGGGGCCAGAGAGATAGCTCAGTGGGCTGAGCATGGGCAAAGGCTTTTTTGCATGTAAGAGGCTTGGGTTTGATCCTCAGCACCACGTCTCTCCCTCTCTCCCCCCAGTGCATCACTTTTGTGAGGAGTTTGGTAGAAAGGAATGATGGCTTTGGAGGTATATATTAGGGAGTATAACGGAGTTCACTTGAACCGGATGCTTTTCCTTTAGTGCCAGACTTGTGTAAATCGTATAGGTAGAATAGACTTGCTTACAAACACTTCGCTTTCCCCACCCCCACCCCACCAAATTCAAGAAATTTTATTTAAGAGAAAGGAAAAGAAGGCAGAGAAGCGCGCGGTTTACTGGAGGCCTTAGGGCAGATTTCCACGCTTGGATTTGGGGTTTGTAGATTGCTTTTTTCTTTCCTTTTTTGGTTTTGCTGCTATATCCTGGCAATGCTGAGGGTTCACTTCCAGTAGTACAGAGGAACTCCGTGATGCCAGGGTTTGAACCCAGGCCTCCTGTCTGCTCCAGTCAGCTTTTCTATTTAAGAGTTCCTTTGTGAATGGAGCAATTGGGGGTGGGGGGTGGAAGTGGGGAGTAGTTCCCCTTTTTTGCTGCAGGGCAGTGACTAGAGTGAAAATGTAGGATTTGGTACTGTTTTGTAAATCACTCCCAGAACAAAACTGTTCATGCTTTTATACCCTATTCCAGTGCTGTCTATGGTCTCATATTTAAAAGATCTATGTTGGGGCCTTCCCTCACCCAACTTGTATTCTGTTGACGTTGGAAATTGATTTACCTTTTGGGGGTTTGGAGAGCTAAGGACTTACTTACTGTTGCTTGGAACTAGATTGTCCAGAAGGGCAACAGCTCACCTACTCCCTGCATGGCTTTGCTCAACCCTTTTTCCTTGCAGGTCTTCCTTCTTCACATTGGTTGGAAAACATTCTCAACGGGTTTTTTTTTCCTGTTGTTCCTTTGTTTTTGTTGGGGGGAGGGGCTTGGGCCATACCTGGTTATGGTTAGGGCTTATTTCCGGCTCTGCACTGAGGGATCACTCCCTGGCAGGCTCAAGGGACCGTATGGGATGTTGGGGATCAAACCCAAGGTAGTTGGCTGCATGTAAGGCAAACTCCCCTGCCCGCTGTATTACCCCTTCGGGCCCAGAGCATACTCTACCTATTAAGAGCCGTTCATTGTTTTAAGACTGAGAGAACCTCTCCTTCAGAAGTCTTTCTGTTTTTACCACTCTACTCCTCCTCTTTCCTTCCTGTCCTTTCCTCACCCTCCTTCTCCACCAAACCTCCCTATCCCTGATGGAATTAACTGGAGAGATTCAGAAATGAAATCTCTGGCCTGCCAAGCTTGAGCTTGGGCTTTCCCTCTTCCTTGGACCTTGTGACTATCTGTGTGAGTTTGGACTGAGGCAGCCAAAAACCTAGGCCAGTGTTGTCTTAACAATCTAAATGTTTTCTTGTTGCATCTTTCTTACAGGCAAAGAAGAGGAAAAGAGCAGAGCGCTTTGGAATTGCCTGATGAAAAGCTTTTGCTTTCTGTTCTCCAGTGGTTTCCGGCTCTCTGATTCTTCTTGATCACATGTGTATCTCAATGCACAGTCATGTGCCTAGGTCTTGTCTCGCAATAAGGGAGCATGTACCCCAGGTGCATCTGTGAACTTAGGCAGCCATTTGACTTACTGCTGTTTCAACTTTCAGTTTGTTGTGTGGTTTGTTTTTTTGTTTTTTGTTTTTTTTTCTTACTATTATTTTGCTTGTTAATAAAAAAATTTTTAAAGGATAGCACTTTTTGTTTTATTAGGTATTTCTTTGAGTTTTTAGAACCAGATTAGACCACATAAGAAGAAATTCAGGGATAGCAAATTCTCTATAATGCCTTTTAAAAGGCATTTTTGAAAAAGAGGACAAGGAAAAGGATTGAATCTGTCCCTTTAAGCCTGTTTAGTCCTTTCTCTCATATTCACAAGAATCCTTTTTCCTTTTATCCTCCAAGAGAAGACCAAGTTTTATCCAGAATCTTTGCCTCAGCAAATTGGCATGATCAATTGGAATAAAATAGAGAGAACACTGTTTTAGGATATGCAAAGGATATAGAGCCAAGAACTAATAATTTGTATTTCTCTATTATGGGCTAATTATGAATTGTTTTTGTTGGATAAAATGGATTCCAGACATACTCTGTTTGGGGGGAGTGATCTGATAACGATACTGTGTTGTTTCAGAGGTGCCACTGTGTAGGACCCTTGTAGTTACATAGTTCAAGAAAGAAGTGGAAGATACCCCTCAAAGTTAGAGGGAAGATTCAAAGCATGAGAAAATGTCGATCATTAAGTATTGCTACCTAATCATTGAGAACCTAAGTAGTGGTACTGGACCTTTTCTAAATTGGGTCACTCTGGTTATTGTTGACGCAGCAGTGTGCCCTGAAAGTTGATTCTCTGGCCCACAGTACAGTGCTTGGAGGCCACCACTGCCACCCAGCGGTGTTTGGGGGACCGTACACTGCTGGGGATTGAACTCAGGTCTTCGAACATGCCAGGCATGTGCTCTGCCGCTTGAGATTTATCCTTAGCCTTCTGCTAGGCTTCAGCTTTCTAATCAAGCCCCGCATTTTATTGGTCTTCTTCTATTGAAGAAGTATAGTATTGTCATTTCAAAAGATTGTTTTTTATTTTGGGACCTCACACCTGGCAGTTCTAGAGTGGCTTTTCCCAGCTTTGTGGCCAAGAGTTGCTCCTCAGGGTGGGAGAGAGGGTGCTACAGGTCTGAGACTTGCTAGTTTGGGATGTGTTGATATAGAGGGTTTTCTTCTTTCTGTCTTGTTTTTTATTTTGAGGCCACGCCCAGCAGTGCTCAGGATTTACTCTTTGACTGTTCTGAGGGATCACTCCTGGCAGGTCTCAAGGGACTAGAGTGCTGGGGATCGAACCCAGTCAGCTGTGTACAAGGCAAGCACCCTACCCACATCTCTCCAGCCCCAGGTTGTTTTGGTTTTTTCCTCTCTTAATCTTTATTTCTGCATGTCTGCATATGGTTTTTTGGTTTGGTTTTGATTTTTCTTTTTTTTGGAAGTCTGATACTTTACCTGAAGATCATAATCTGGAGGCTAGAGCAATAGCACGGTGGGTAGGGCTCTTTCTGAATGCAGAGCCAGCATTGCTGGTAGGGCAAAAAGAACCAAAACAAAAAGATCACAGTCTGATCTGTATTATTATTTTCATTAAAAAGGGACTTTGGGGGCCAGAGTAGTAGTACTGCAGGTAGGGCCTTTGCCTGGCACACGGCTGACCTGGATTTGATCTCAGTATCCCAGATAGTCCCTGAAGCATCACTAGGAGTGTGCCCTGATATCCACTGGATGTGTCCCAAAAAACAAATAAAATGTGATTTTGTGGTAAATAAATGGCACGATCTCCCTTCCTAATAGGAGTCACTTTCCACAAAGTTTCTTTGGTTGTGGTAGGCTAGAGAATTAATTTTAAGTACTTTAGAATCTAAAAATTTTGCCTTGTGAATTTTGCCCCATTCTGAGACAGGAGAAATGATCAGAAATACCCTATCATAAGCAATATTATAAATCACAGTGCCCAAAACTAAAAATAAGTAAATAAAATAGAACTGTAGTGGTAAATTATTTTAAAAGAGTAAAAGTAAAAACTTATTTAATTTTTCTTTCTCTCGCTTTTGACCTCATTATGCTTCCTTTTTATTTCAGGTCCCGATTAGAGGCTAACTTTTCACAATAGAATCTGTGTCTTCATTTGAAAACAAGTGGACCAAGGAGAGATGATAAGATTGGCTACCAAAAGAGAAGGGGGAAAGAATAGAACAGAATATAAAAGAATAGTATAGAAAGAATAGAACAGAATAGAATTGAGTCCTACCTAGGTTTTTCAGGTATCTTCTTCACTTGACTTTTCTTTCTATCTTGAGAAAGATTTGCAGCCTGCCCACAGTCCCGTGCAGAATGTTCTCTATTGGGTCGGGGGACCCACACCCAGCAATGCTCGGGGGTTACTCCTGGCTCTGCACTCAGGAATTAATTCTAGCAGTATGTGGGGGACCCTATGAGAGGCTGGAGATTGAATCCAGGTTGGCGGCCTGCAAGTCAAGAGCCCTTCTTCTAGCCCTGATTATTCCTTTCACTCACTTTCCTGTAACTGTTTGAGTCAGCTTCTCAATTAGTGTGGACTTTTTTGCTAATCCTTTCCATCCCGTTATTCAGGTGTTTGGAGCAAGAATAGTTCATGATACCTATGTCTTCCTGCTAACGTCCTCAAGCTGTAAGCCCCTTGGACGTGTGGCGGGCAGCTTGCAGTTCTGCCTGGATTTAGTTACACCTTCGTCCTATCGTCCAGTGTCCCGAGTGTAGCTGGCTCCAGACTTCCCTGTCCTGAAGCTGTGACATTCTCTGCATGCCTGAGCATTCTTAATGAGAAAGTCTATAAAAGATGTGGAGGGAACTCGCTTCCTCAGCTATAAATCTGCACCTTTTTATGGTTCTCTAGGATTGTTCTTTCTTTTCTCCATCATCACTATAAACTGCCCTTTCCCCCACCCAGTTCCTGGAAACTACTATACCCACGGTGGTAAGTCTCTAAGAGGGAAGACGTGACTAAGATCCGGACTTGGTGTTGAGTACTGTCTGATTTCATATGAAATACAGACGAGGGGGTTAAGGAAATTACAGAAGGGATTTACATAAATAAGGGAGAAAGCTTTTTCCTTATTGTCTTTAATGAGGGCCTCTGATACACAGTGTGACTCACCTCTGACTAAACGTTACTTGCCCCTCGCATGCTTCACATGTCCACACACATCTTGTTTGTCCTTCCAAAGGGATTGAATAGTAACAGGTTTCACGCTTTGCCGAGTCCAGGCAGCTCCGCCTTTAGTTCACTATTTCCTTTAGAGCACTATTAATAGGATAGATTTGAATGAGGTATTGTGTGGCAATTACTTAGGTATAATTCTTGGTCATACTACACTGGGTCTGAGAATCAGAGCAGATTAATTATGTAATCATTTTTCTTTTTAAGTGGGAGGAATTGGGTCATACTCGGTCACCCAATTCCTCCTGCCTCCTTGATTCTGGGGACTACGCCCAGCATGCTGTTCTAGGGCCACTCCTGATACCGTGCAGTGCTGGGGATCAAACTCTTGAGCTATACATGCAACGCTTTCTCTCCAGCCCTCTAAGCTGTCTCCCCTGCCTTTTATCTTTGACTTTTTCTATACTACCAATAGCGATCCTGTTCTTTAAGATTGTCTATGGGCTGGAGCGATAGCACAGCGGGTAGGGCATTTGCCTTGCACGCGGCTGGCCCGGGTTCGATCCCCAGCATCCCATATGGTCCCCTGAGCATCGCCAGGAGTAATTCCTGAGTGCAGAGCCAGGAGCAACCCCTGTGCATTGCCGGGTGTGACCCAAAAAGCAAAAAAAAAAAGATTGTCCTGAGTGATGCGGTAGTACTGCGGTTTAGGGCTCTTACCCTGTACATGGCCATCCCGTGTCCAATCCGTGGCATTCCATATGGTCCCCCAGGCATAACCAGGAACACAGAGCCAGGAGTAAGCCCTAAATATTGCCCAGTGTGGTTCACACACAAAAAGATTGTCCTGAGAATTGTTTTATTGTGTACTTAGAATATGTAGTCTGTATTGTAATCTTTTAGAAAATATTCACTCTTTATTTTACTAGGAGATTTACATTGGAAATACTTTCTCCCTAGTAGGTGACAGTTAGGGGATTTGAGTTCATTCGTCGTCTCATCATATGTGCATGCGGAGATTCAGAGCTGCATATGGAGATTCAGAGAGACGTGAAGGAGACCCCGTTTTTCTCTCACTCGAAGTGATCTGGGACATTGATTCCCTGCCTCTGACTCACTCACTGCACACAACAGAGGTGTAAATGCCATTCCTTACTGGTTCTTAGCATGGGACCCTTGATCCAAAATACAAGAGTAGGGGGCTGGGGTGATAGCACAGTGGGTAGGGCATTTGCCTTGCATGCGGCCAACCCGGGTTCGATTCCCAGCGTCTCATATCGTCCCCAAGCACCACCAGGAGTGATTCCTGAGTGCATGAGCCAGGAGTAACCCCTGTGCATTGCCGGGTGTGACCCAAAAAGAAAAAAAAATACATACACACACATATATATATATATATATATATATGAGTATTGGGTCGCTACTCATACATTGGGATTGGAGGGTACTTGAGGATAAAGGGGGAAAGGGCTTGATTTATCTTGGGGCTGGAGGTAAAACAGTGGGCAGAGCACTTGTCTTGCGCTGTTCGTCTCAAGCATCCCATATGGCCCCCCGAGCACTGCCAGGAGTGACCTCTTGAGTGCAGAGCCAGGTAGTAAGCTCTGCACTCCTGGGTATAGCTGGTGTGGCCCCCCAAAATAAAAATAAAAGTCATCTTGTAGCCTCTTAAGGGTATCCTCTCAAGGCAAGAAGTACAGAAGAGAGTATTTCTAGCCAGGCTTAAAGCTAGGGGTAGATGTGAGTAAAAGTTTCTTTGGGGTAACAGTCTTATACTAAGTTCCTCCCTACATGAGGAGATCCTTTTCCTTTCTCCTCTACTTTCCAATAAACTTTTCTGTGTATTGGGGGGAACGTTTCCTTGAGGGGCTGGAGAGATAGTACAGTGGGTAGGGGGCTTGCCTTGCACTCGCAGCCAACCCAGGTTTGATCCCTGTCATCCCATATGGCTCCCTGAGCCCCGCCAGGAGTAATTCTAAGCAAGCCTGGTTCGTGAGTTCCGTTCCTCTGCCAAAAATAGTTCGTCGAGGGGTGAAGGTAGAGGGGGAAACAAAAGTACCTTAGTCCAGGAATACTGCGGTTAAGGTGCCTGCCTTGGGGCTGGAGAGATAGTACAGTGCGTAGGGCACAAGCCTTGCATGCAGCCAACCCGAGTTCAGTCCCCAGCACCCAATATGATTCCCCAGTCCCTGCCAGGAGTGATCCCTGAGTCCAGAGCCAAGAGTAAGCCCTGAGCACAAATAGGCGTGGCCCTAAAAAATGGTGTGTGGGGGGAGGCGCATTTGCCTTGCATGTGGGCAATTCTGTGGCACATGTCCAATCCATCACTACCAGGTATGGTGTGGCCCAAGGAAAAAAACTTTATTAATTTCATTTTCTATGGATACACTATGTAACTCTTCAGCCCTATCAGCTTAGGGACTACAGCCGCTGTAAGGTGCGGTGAGATTTGATCCGTCCATTCACAGGACAGGGAAAGATTAATAGCACATTGACCAGTGACCGTGTACTGTCTTCTGGATCAGGTTGTCAGGGAAGTGTTTTGTTTTTTAAAAAATACATTAGGGCTGGAGCAATAGCACAGTGGGTAGGGCGTTAGTTAGCCTTGCACGCACCTGACCCGGGTTCGATTCCCAGCATCCCATATGGTCCCCTGAGTACCGCCAGGAGTAATTCCTGAGTGCAGAGCCAGGTGTGACCCAACAAGCAAAAAAACAAAACAAAAATAAATGTTAGGCAATATTCTTGGGCTTCTTTCAACTGTCTTACCCTGGGAGAGATACTACATAGGTACCTAGGTTTATGATAGAGTCATAAAGAATACTTGAGATGCTTAACTACTCTTGGTAGGTATACTGGCAAGTTAAATGACTTGTTTTGTGGATTTGGGTGAAACAGAAAACCCAGGATTGAAACTGCAGGAGAATAAAACTCACATTAGCTAAATCATCTCAGGTACTTTCAGATCAGGGCCAGAGATAGTACAGCAGGTTGGGCTCTTACCTTGCATGTGGCCAACTCATGTTCAATCCCATATGGTCCCAGAAGCCCACCACCCCAAGTGATTCCTGAGTGTATAGCCAGGAGTAACCCCCGAGCATCGGCTGGTATGAGCTGGTATTAACACCACCACCACCCACCAAGGGGGAAAAAAAATTAAAAACCTCATATATGGGGCGTTTGCCTTGCACATGGCCAACCCAGGTTCGATTCCCTGCATCCCATATGGTTCCATGAGCACCACCAGGAGTAATTCCTGAGTGCAAAGCCCGGAGTAACCCCTGTGTATCACCGGTTGTGATCCAAAAGGGGAAGGAAAAAAAAAACCCTTAGCTATTCCTTGGAGGTCGGGAAGGGCTTTTGTAATGTTTGGGACTGTTCTGGACAGGATATCCAGATGACCGTTATTCTGGGTCCCCATCTTTTGCCCATTCTCCCTTCATGTGGATGTCCCAACCCCTCATCCCAGATGCCCCCTAGTGTTTTCCCCTGGGCTATCGTTTTCGTCCCGGAGATGCAGCTTCTTCTCACATCCTCTTCTGTTCCTAGTCTCCAGGGTATAAAAAATGTGGCGCTTGGTTAGGGAGAAGAGCTCATCACTGAATGAGTGATGACTCATGACTCATCAGTCACTCTTTGACTGCTTTTATTTTTCTTTTTTTCAAGTGCTGGATTGTGTCATGTGACCATCCCAAAACTCAGAGCACCCTATGGCCATCTTTGCCCTCTGTCACATAACTTGAAAACTGCCTGATGGCCTTTTGCAGTGGTTCCTCCAGGAAGCCTTGATCTCATTGAAGAAGTCCTTTCCTGGCATTCCAGTGCCCCTGTCAGCCCCGTCCTCTTCAGACATCCTTAACAAACAAAGGCAATCACGCACATGGTGTAACAACACAAATAATAATTACACTAATTATGATCAGAGGGGCACTGGCCAGATCCACACATCATAAGGTGGGAGAAGGGGGTGCTACCTTCCACTATAGGTCTCTGGGCTGTGCCCCCAAGCCTCTACTTACCCCCATGCCTCTTTAGGAGTGGGGAGGACCAGGGGAATGAGACTTGAACTCCTAGATTTTTGTTCATAAGAGAAAGACACCCCCCCTCCCCAACAAAGGTCTTTATTTGGTGGTATTAAGGGACATATTCTAAGTGTCCCCCAACTCTAATGCCCCAGCTCTCTAAAACTTGCAGAGGGAAATCACCCGATACCTATTGCCCAGCCCCTGCCGTGTGCCAAGATCAAGAGACATGGACATTTGACCTTGGAGGAGGCATCTTCTGTTCTTCTCTGTTCCACTCTTTCCACTAAGGAAATGCGAATGGTTGGATGAAACTTGCTCTTGAAGACTGGGAGTAGAAGGCAGGATGAAGAACAGGGCCAGAGAAGAGGCAGCGGGTTGGCATAGCTGCTCTGTGGAAGGCTAGTTGGTAAGCACACGCCCGTTCCTATACGGAAACACCTTGTCTCTCCAGTACGGGAACAGGAATAAGTTGCCGAGGCGCTCTACAATGCCTTCCCAAGGGCAGTCACATACCTTTGCCCCTTCCCCGGCTGGACTAGGTGGGAGTCACGCTCTGGGGAAGAACAGCCTCCTCCACCATCTCTCCAACTCGGGCTTTGCTTCAGTTCCGTACTGTTTGCATCCGACTCATCATTGCTGGCTCCACTTAGATCGTTTTGCCGAAGGTTCTTTTCCCCTCCTCTCCTGTCGTCCTGGAGGCGCTTGCCTGCGGCCAAGAGGTCTGATGGCGAGGTATGGATAGGTACGGACAGGAGATTCTCGACTCCTAGGCGTAGGCACTGTCCAGCTGGGAGGCAGAGGGGAAGACTTGTTCTCTGAAGCCTGTGACTCCTCTAAGCCTCATCTCTTCACCACTATTCTGGTGCCCTGGTTATCTGTTCCACAGCGAGAGGTATTTTTTTGTCCATAAAGTGCCCGTGGTAAGTGCTCAGAATTCATCTCTTGGCTGTGGCGGGTGCTGCTATTTCTCAATCCGTTGAGGCACAGTGAGTCCAGAGGAAGGTGGGGCAGGATTGTGGGAGGAATGAATGGGCCCAGCGAGTGGCTTGGACTGACAGCCAGCCCCTGCTCGTTTCCAGCCTTCCAAGCCACGGAGCCCGTCCTTCCTGTCCTCTGTTCCAACCGGCCTTGTCAGATGCATCCCTCCCCTCCCCCCACCCGCTTATGATCCCCTCCCTGCTGCCAGTTACTGCTAGATTCCAAAAATAAAGATAAAAATAATTATAGACATTCTATTCCCTTGTCCCCCCCCCCTTCCACCCTGAGCTTTGGGGTTGGGGAACGAAAATGTCCCCTCTCCAGAATTCCTTTCACCTTGGTCTGCTGGCTCTACCCCTAGCCCAGAGCAATGATTTGGATTCAAATGCCCGATCCCCTTCAGCCTCCTTGCTGCTTTCCTGACCCCTCCTGTCCCTTCCCAGACCTGGGAGCTCTGGGATCTGTCTACGTTCCCTTTAATTGACCTGAAGATAGAGGCTTCGAGCAGGGGCCTTCCACAGGCTCTTTGGTCTCTCTCGGCTGGGGAAAATTTGGGCATCAACAGACCCTACCCTCTGGCTGAGTATCTCGGTGCTCTGAGGGAGGGTGGGCCTGAGGGTTAGTTGGGTGGCTCTCATACAGATCCTGGATGCTGAGGGCTCTCTCTCCCCTCTTCCCCAGCTCTTAAACTCTAACCTCTTGTTTCTGGGACCACTGGAATTCAGTTCAACCCGTTTGGCTCAGGAAGATAGGGTGATTATGGGTTAGAAACTTCCACGTGTCAGTCCTCTGGCCCTCTCCTCCCATTCCCATCCCTCCGTGGAGGCTTTATACAAGTGCTTAAGTAGGCGGGTATTGAGGGAGAACAGGGTTTGGGGAATAAGGAACAAATGGGGCACGGTGAGCAGGGCCTATTTCGATAAAGCCAAATACCAAAAAAAAAAAAAAAAAAAAAAAAAAATTCACAATAAATAAATAAATAAAATTCCCAAATCCTCACTTTTGCCCCTGTCCTCACTTTCCTTCCCCTGGCCACTGTCGGAGGGAAATCGGGAAGAAGCCAGGAATGGATTCTTTATTTCCTCTCCTAATGAGAATGGGAATCAAGGGATCTCCCTAAACCCCAGCAGGCCCTCCCCTTGCCAGTGGAAGGGAGGTGTGGGACTTCCTCCTGGAACTCCGCTTCCGTCTCTTTCTCCTTGTTTATTTCTGCCTAGTCTCAGTCTCTTCCGCATCTCGATCCCTCTGCCTTCTCGCTGTTGCGCATTTTGTTCCTGTCTCTATCCCTCTCTGCTCTACCTGTCTCTACATCTCTCTGTCTTGCCAAACCACCTGCAAACCTCAAATACTCCCCACCTGACGGTGCCCCTCTCCTACCTTCCCCCCCGAACCCCTCACCCCCCAGTCCCCACCTGCCTCCCTCTGTTGTATTGCACACTGCTTGGGCAGGGAACAAGGTGTGACGTCCATGGGAAGAGGTAGAGGGGGCTCTAGGGCCTGGCTGGGGGGAGAAGGGGTCAGGGCTGGGGGCCTCGGGGAAGGGTCTGTGGGGGAGGCATCCTCTGTCCCCCACCTTAGGAGCAGCCACAGCGATCCACCACCATGCCAGGGATCTTGCCGTAGATGATCTGCTGCTTGTCATTGAAGTAGAGCATGTTGATTGGGGACATCTTGGTGGGGGTACAGCAAGGCCCGGCAGAGCCTCTTGGATTAGCCTGTTGCACCAAGTGGGTGTGTGGGTACTTTTGCATGAACATGTACTCGCACTGGCCGGAGCAGTAGTTGGCCTTGTAGCGCTTAGGCGCGATGATCCAGTCCCAGCCAAAAGCCTCGAAGTCCACTGTGAGGGGGTATCGGCAGCAGCGGGACTCGCTCGAGTGCTCATCGCAGTCCAGGCCCAGGTTTCGCCGGGACCGTTTGGTGTTCTCCAGGACTCGGAGCTCCATGAATGGATGCTGGAAGTGAGGAGAGGAGAAAGAGATGTGAGCCAGCCCCGAAGCAGCCCTACTCCCTGTGCCTGAGGGAGCATCTCCCGCTCACAACAGAGAACACCGACCTCAGCCTCAGCGGCTCCCAGCCCTGGATCTTCCACCCAGTTTTCTTGGCCGCTGGGCTCCATCTCCCCTCCCGCCCGCCTTCCCTAATTCTCCCTGACCTAGCAACCTGACCCTCGTCAGCCCTTGGCCCCAGGCCTCCTCAATAGCCCATTCTTGTGTTCCCACGGATCTTCCATTAAGTCACCCAACTCCAATTTTTAGCTGCCACCCGGCTTGAATCTCTGAAAAACGATAGCTGCCACTCCCTCCCCAACTCCTCCGCAATCAGCTTCTCATCCCAGAGAAATCACGCTGGTTCCCCAGTCCCCTTGGCATCCCTGCTCTCCCTTTGCTAGAACGTCCCACCTCGGGGCCAGGTTCCACTAGCTAGGCCACCATCTCACGCTCCCTGCTCACCAGCCCCTCAGCTCCTGGCCCCAGGGAGGTGACAGCCAGGTCTGTGCCACTGGGATCAAAGGCGTTGATCTCGATGCCCCAGTTGCTCTGTGGCTGGCGGAACCAGCTGTGTAGCACTTGCTTGAAGTCGATGCTCTGCCAGTGGCCGGAGCGGGAGTGCAGCTCGATCTTGAGAGAGCGGATACGGATGTGCCGCCGTCCTCCGCCCCCTCCCCCTGCAGTCCCTTCCCCAGTGAGGGGCTTCAGTCGCAAGATCTGCAGGTAGACTGTGGCTGGGCGGGGCACAGGCCGGAGATACACCCACAGCTGGGCCTTTAGTACCTTTGTGAACATCACCTTGGGGCTGAAGTGGAAATGGCAGCAAAGGGGGCTGCCATCCGTCTGCACTGCAGGGTCCGCTGATGAGAGAGAAAGGGACACAGCGTCAGCACAGGTGGGGGCCAAGTGGCCATGGATGGTATTGGCAACTTGGATTCCTCACTCTTGGACTCCTCAATTCCATATCTTCCTATGCTCTTCACGTTGACTAGCCTGTTGCTAGCATGCAGTACAGAGCCTTCTGGTCCCTACAGGATGATGACTATCAGTCCTTCCTGATGATCTGTACCCATTCCCTCATCCCTTTCCCACATGCTCAGAAATCGTCGCTCCTGGCAGTGCTCAAAGGACCGCACCATGCCTCGGGTTGGCCACAGGCAAGACGAGAACTTGTGTCTGGCCTGCCACCAGACACAGAATCATTTACGAAGAAGGTTACTAGGAATTCTTTTTTTTTTTCCCCGCTTTTTGGGTCACACCTGGTGATGCACACGGGTTATTCCTGACTCATGCACTCAAGAATTACTCCTGGTGGTGCTCGGGGGACCATTTGGGATGCTGGGAATCGAACCCGGGTCGGCCGCGTGCAAGGCAAACACCCTACCCACTGTGCTATCACTCCAGCTCCTGGTTACTAGGGAATTCTACCTGCACTCTCCCCTCCAACTTTCTTCAGACTACAGGGCTCCACTTTTTTCCCCCTGCTCTATTGACTCTCCCTAGAAGCCGAAGCACTCACATCACACCTGCTTGCCTCAGGTGAGTTTTGCCTCATTTCTGCTAATGTTTCTGGTGAGCAGGTGCAACCTGGCACAACTCCCCGAAATGCATGGCCTTTGAGCGGACAACCCAGGATCCAGAGAGGGAGATGGTTGAGAATTTATTTTATGAAGTCCGCTAGAATTTGAATCTAGGTTTTTTACATGAATGCCATGAGAGTAACACCCTGCAGTGCATCTGACAACCCAGTCCCTTAGTCCTGAGGGTAAGTTTTCTCGGCAGCTTCATCACTGCCTCAGTTTTTGAGGAAGGGAAAACGACCTCCATGTTGTTGCTTTCTAGTGCCCCTGCATCAGAAATAATATCCAATCAACCAAACTAAGCGTAATCCGTTATTTCCCGCCCTGAGCCTTTTTACTTTCGCAGTGCAGTGCCAGTAAATCTTTACAAAAATTTAACATGCCATGTGACATTAGGCCATTTCTCCTTTGTTCCTAAACTGACCTTCTCTAGCTAACGGTTGAGTCCCCCTACTATCTCCATTCTAGATCCTCTCCGTTTCTCTTTCTGTGGTCTTAAATCATAAAAGATTATGCTTCTGCTGTACACATCCTTATTCTAAGATAGACTGAAAGGAGAATCAGCGGAAAGCTTCTGGAAGCATGTAAGTGTGATCGGGAAATCCACACCCCCGTGTCCAATGCCTTGTGAGTTCTGCATAAGTGTGAAAGATAGCACCTGTTTTCTCCAAACCCGGACCCCCCGGAGAAGGTGGACCCTCCAAGATGAGGTGCGGAGGAAAGTGCTTAATGTTTCTCAACATTCAGGTCATGAGACTGACAGAATTATCTTTCAGCTTCTTTTCCCTTGGTTCTTTGTTTTTACTGGGGGGGGCACATCCAGCAGTGCTCAGGGGTTACTCCTGGGTCTGTGCTGGGGAGCAATGAAGGGTGAAGGAAGAAACGTGCAGTGCTGGGATTGAATCCCAAGTCTCACGCATCCCACCCCCACTTCCTGCAGGTTGTTTCGTTTTGCTTTATGAGGCCCCAGGATTCTGGTAGTCCTAGTTATCTTCCTGCTGGAGCTGCATATGTACAATGGGGTGGGAACAGGAGAGTAGCTGGGAGCGACAAGCAGCCATCAATCCAAAGACACACTGCGTATGCCTCAGTTCGGCAGAGGGATCCGTCTATTTTCTGCCCATCTTAATGACTGGGTACTAATTGCCATGAGTCTCACAATGGTATAAGTGCCTCGCAATTATACCATACAGTGCTCAACAGATGAATGGATTCCCTGAATCCCAATCTTAAATTACTCAGGTGAGTGCCTGAAAGTCTTCCGGAACTATTCAGAAGTAAACAAACTTTCTTGACTAGTCTGAGTCGATTTGATCACCGCCTCCTTAACTACCCAAACTTCCAGCCAAACTTGCTTCACGGGAGCCTGAGCACTGAACAAGTAAGTAGCTTCTCAGCAAACGTTGGCTTGCTGGTAGTGTTCTCAGCACACTGCCCTGTGGATACCCAGACCCCACCTCTCTAAGTCTGGATCGCTTCTCCCCGGTGAGGGACAGTGCTGATGTACAGAGAAACGGGGGAAAGGGGAGGTGAAGTGGTAAGAGAGAGAACAGAGAAGAGAAGTCGGGTGAGGGGCAGGTTAGAAAAGAAGTGAGAGAGAGAAGGAAGAGCGTGGAACTCCACAGTGGAACTAAGTAAGTTTGGGAGTCGGAGAAGACTGGGAGGCAATGGGGGTGATGGGAGTGAGTGGAGGTTAAGAAGCTAAAAGGGGTTTGCTGAGCCTAGAGGGATAAAGAGAAAGGATGGAAGGGTGCGGAGAAGGAACAAAGGAGGAGCAGGTAGAACACAGGGAAACAAGGGGGCTGGAGAGAGTCCCCAACACACACAGGCGGGCTCGCAAGGGGAGGGGAAGGAGCCACATCTGTGTTGGATTGATGGGTTGGCGGCAGGTCAGGTTTAGTAGGCGGCGCTGGTCTGGAGAGAGGTCATTGCACTATTTTCAGCAAAAGCCCAACCCCCTCCCGCTCACCCTCTCCTCCTCCTCCTCCTCCTCCTCCTCCCGGGCCACCCCTCCCCGGCCACTCTCCCTGCCCCGGCTGCGGGCTGCGCTGCGCCGCGCGGGCAGGGGCCTCCGGGCCTGGGGAGGAGAGAGAAACTGAGGGGCCGGGCTTGGCTCCCCGAAGGGAAGGGGGCTGGATTCCCAGGATGCTGGCGGGGTGGGAGAGACCGAGAGAATGTGGAGGGAACTAGGGCAGGCACTGCCGCCTCGGGGAGGTGGGGGTTGGGGTCCCGGGTGGAGGGCTGGGGGAGGGGAGGGAGGAGGAGGGGAGCGGAGGCCATCTCTGCTGACAAACACCTCCCCCGATTAGCAGAGCACAAGTCTCTTATTAAAGCGGGTCCCTGGGGATTAGACTATAAAAGTCCCTTTTTCCTTTTCCACTCTCTCCCTCCCCTCCCCGCGGCTCCCCCTCCCTCCCTTTCGAGCGCCGTTTGCCTCTTAAAGGGGACGTACAATACCTGGCCCGAGACCCAGTTCCCTAGAGAGCCAAGTCCTGGGGTGTCAGAGGGGTGGAAGTTGGGGTGGAACCTCACCTGCCCCCGTCCTCCCTCTCCTGCCGTCAACCCCGCCTGCACTTCCCAATCCATGAGTGCAGGGTCTGTTTGCTTCCTGCAGCCAGACGGGCTGAGCTTAGGACCACTGGCCGAGGGATGCTCAGCACAGAAGGGGCAGAAGGGGTCCCCAGTCCGTCGCCCACGGGGAAGCCTTCACACTCCGTGCCAAGGACACCGGAGCATCTGTTCTCCACATCCCCTTCATGCTCCCCAGCAAACTCTTCAGAATTCCTCCGCGACGGTTTCCTCGCATCCCCACCCCCACCCCTGCCCTCAGTCAATCTCGGACTGACCCGAGCTTCCATAAAGCAGAAGCCTGGAGAACAGAGAGGCGCGGAGGAACCCAAGACCAGACCTCGGGCCTCCCCCCACACACCCACCCACCCACCTCAGGTTACTTTCCTTTGAATTTTCCTTTCTTTACAGCCCTGGCCAAGTCCTGTGGAGTTAGGGTGTGCAGATTCGCAGGCGGCACCGGGGCATCAGCCTCAGGCACACCTGGGCTCCCGCCTCTCCCACGGGGGGTGGGGGGGTGGGCCGCTGGGACGCCCCTCGGCCCCCAGCTTTTTATGACCCATCTGCCAATAAACCAGTCTCCCCCTCTTCTGTTCAGAGCCATAAAACCAAACAGAGAAGCGAGTGTGTGTATGTGCGTATTGGGGGGGTGGGGGGGCTTTGCCAATCTACTAGGAAATCAGAAAGCCCCTGGGACCCAGCTTCTCTGGAGTTGGGGTGGGGGGGCCTGAGTGGGGGAGGGGAAGGGGCAGTCATCTGACCTTAGGGAGAGCTGGGGGGCGGTGGGGGGGGAGTATTGGCTTAGATTTTCCAGGCCATAAAATTTCAAAGCAGCTCAAGTCTATTAACATGTTCATCTTCCGTTTGGCCGGGGGCTTGGATGCTGGGGTTCCCCCTCCCTCCCCATCTATTTCTTTCTCTTTCTCCCCGGGTCTTCTCCTCTCGAGGGAGGCGGCAGGGTAGGGGCGGGTGGAGCATAAACGCGCCTCAAACCGGTGTCCTCAGCCCCGGCCCGCGCGGAGCTGAGTCTCGGGGCTCCTGAGTCCCAAGAAGAACCGGCGTTTCGGCCCGCGCGGGGCACCGGAGTCAGAGGGGCAGGGGGCGGAAAGGATGCCCGCGGGGCCGCCTGCCCGGGACCTCGCTCCTGGGAGCGCCGCGCTCAGTTCTCTGCAGTCCGCGGGGCGAGGCGGGGAGCCGGGGCGCACGGGGTGCAGAGTTAGTGCCAGGGCGGCCCGGGGTCGCCGGGCCCCGCCGCGGGCGCGGACTGCAGGTCCAGTGCCCCAGCCTCTCTCTCCGCCGCGAGCCGCGACCCCCTCCCCTTGCGGCTCCCCCACGGCTGCCCCCCGCCAAACCCGGGGCTCCCGGGGAAGCGGAACCTCGCTCGGGCCAGGGTCGCCGCCGCGCCCCCTCCCACACCGCAGGGCGATGGGCGTGCCCGCAACTCCGCAGCCCACCTCCGCCGCTGGAAAACAACTTCCACGGAGCAGCCCCCGCCCCCAGCCCGTCAAGTTTTGCAGAAACGGCTTCCGGGCCGGAGCAGCCCAGCCGGGAGCCCTGGCGTCCGCAGCCCCGGGCGCCCGCGGCCCCCCGCCCCCCGTCGGCGCCCACTTACTCTCCTGGGCCATGCTAATGACGGTCTCGGTGGTGGCGTGGTACTCGTCCTCCTCCAGGAAGTCCTCGGGCTGCAGCGCGTCGCCCTGGAAGTCGTGCAGGTCCAGGATCTGCTGCAGCGGCGGCGCCTTGGGCAGCAGCTGCTTCACCACCTCGCGGCTGATGTTGGGCGCCTCCTTGAGCCGCAGTTTGCTCAGGATCTGCGACTTGATGCTCTCCAGGCGCAGCTCGCGGCTGTGCTGCCGCCACACGCACACGGGGCAGCCGTCGGGCTCGGGCGCCGCGGACGCGGCCGGCCGGCTCGAGCGCTGCCCCCCGGCCCCCGCCGCCGCCGCCGCCGCCGCCGCCGCCGCCGCCGCCGCGGGGCCCTCGGCCGCCTCCCCCCGGGGCCGCAGCTCCAGGGCGAGGAGCAGGAAGCCCAGCAGCAGCGGGGCCGCGAGCACCATGCTGCAGGGGAGGGGAGGGAGCACTGGGGGGCGGGGACGCCGGAGTCCCGCGGGGAGGGGGCGGGGGCGGAGGGCGGGGGGAGGAGGAGGAGGAGGAGGGGGGCCCGGGCGGCGCGGGATTGGGGGCTGCCCGGCCCAGGGGGGACCGGGGGGGCCGGGGGCGGCGGGCGCGCGGGCGGGGCGGGCGGGCGGCCGGGGCGGGCGGCTGGGGGGGCCCGGGCCCGGGCCAGGCCCTTTATAGCCCCGGCCCCCGTGTCGTCAGCGGCCGCGATTGGCTGCGGAGCCAACAAAAGAGGCAGCGCTGTCATCCGAGGCGAGAGAGGGAGTCGCGGAGAGGGAGGGAGCGAGGGCCCCGCGAGCGCCGGAGGGACGGACACGGGCGTGGGGGGCAGGAAGGGGCCCGGGAGCCCGCGGGCACCTGGGGGAGGCCCGGGCGCGCGGGCGGCGCCCCCGCGGGGCCGGGGGAGGGCGCGGGAGGGACAAAGGGGGAGGCGAGGGCCGCGCAGGGGGCGGACACTCGGGGGCCGAGGAGGCGCCGCGCGGAACTTAAGTGCGGAGTGCAGACAAAGGTGGGGACACGCACCGGCGGGGTCCCCGTGGAAGGGAGGGGGCGGCGGCCGCGCGGCGGTCCCGGAGCCGGGAGGGGAGCGGGGCGGCCGGACCCCGGGCGGAGGCTGGGAGGCGCCGGGGGCTCCCTCCGCGCCGGAGACCCCGAGGCCGGTCCGTCCGCGGGAGGGCAGGGAGTGCCCAGCAGAGGAGGGGACCGGCCGAGCCCAGAAGAGGCCCCGCGCGGCCGGAGCGACAGCACCGCGGAGAGGGCACCCGCCGCCGAGCCTGCCGCCGACCTGTGTTCGGTCCTCGGCAGCCCACGGGGTCCCGCCGGAGTGATCCTGCGTGCGGAGCCCGGCGAAACCCCCGAGTGTCTCTGGGTGTGCTCTCCGCCCCCACGCCCAAAGAAAAGATCCGGAGAGAAGACGGGGAAAGCCGACCCCGAAAGGAGACCGGAGTGGGGCAGGAGGGGGAGCGGGAAGCGTGAGATGAAAGGGCTGGACCTGGGGCGTCGAGAGGGCGCCCCGGAGAGGACGAGGCTGGGGACCGTCCCAGGAGGTGGGCAGGAGGTGAGAGGCCGAGAGGAAGCCTTAGCTGGGAAGAATGTGAACTTGAAGCTTGCGTGGGGACCACGGCGTCCCGGGGTGGGAAGGACTCCGTAGGAGGGGAAGCAGCCAAGGCCAGGGGCTGTCTGTCTGCAGGACCTCTGGGTACCAGCTAGACTTAGGGACCTGCAGGAGCTTGGAAGTCAGAGAAGGAAGGAGCGGCAGGGATGAGGAGGGGAAGGGAAGCCGCTAACTCCTGAAGCAGAAGCACCATGCTGCAGAGAAAAATTTTCTCCCAGCCTTTTTGGGCTTTTGTTCTTGTTCTTGTGCCACGCTGGGGCGCGGGATGCAGTGCCGGGGATTGACCCGAGGGCTCCTGCATGATATCAAACATGCCCTCGAATGCTTTGAGCCCTTGCCCCATTTCTCTTCAGGCTTCTTCTTTGAGTCCAAAGCCTTGGAGGTCAGGGCCACAGAGATAGTACAGTGGGTAAGGCCTAACCCTGGTTCAATCCCTGCACCACGTATGATTAGCTAAGCACTACTGACAGTGAACCCTGAGCACAGCCTGGTGTGGTTCCCCTGCCCCCCATTACCACATATGTACATATATATGTATATATGTACTTCATATATGTGTGAAAAACAAAGTAGTCTTGGAGCTCAATAGACAAATAACAGATTGAAAATGCTTGAGGGATTCAGACCTGGCTCATTTCCTGGAACACAATGCTTATTAATAAGAGGATGAACGTTAATGGGCTTCTCTGGTGCAACAGAGGGATATTGGTTTCCTCTCTGGATCAGAGCCCAATGGAGTGTTTATTTATTTATTTGGTGTTTTGGGCCACACCCAGAAGTGCTCAGAGCTTATTCCTGGCTCTATGCTCAGAAATCACTTCTAGTGAGCCTTGGGGGACCACAAATGGGGCCAAGGATCAAATCTGGGTTGGCCACGTGCAAGGCAAGAGTCTTATCCACTTTACTATCTCTCGAGCCCCCATAGAGTGTTATAAAGTTGGCTTGAAGGCTGGAGGGATAGTACAGCGGATAGAGCATTTACCTTGCATGAAGCCCGCCTGGGTTCAATCTCTGGCATCCCATATGGTTCCCTGAGCACTGCCAGCAGTGATTCATGAGTGCAGAGCCAGAAGTAACCCCTGAGCATCATTGGGTATGGTTCCCTCTTCCCCTCCCCAAAAAGGTAGGTTTGAAGGAATATTAGGTGTAAGAATAGTGTTGGGCAGGGAACTGAAATGGGATGAGGGAAGAAACTGGGGTGTCTAAGCCTGAGGGAGAAATACAGGGTAAGAATTACCAACCTGGGACTTCGAAAAAAGGGATCAGGGTCTGAGCAACAGTACAGTGGCTAGGGCACTTGCCTTGTATGTGTTCAACCCACATTTAGTGCCCAGCATATGAAATGGTCCCCTAAACCCACCAGGAGTGATTTCTGAGTGCAGAGCCAGGAATAACCCTTGGACAAGCCCAAACCAAACATTCTTTTTAAAGGATCCATTTTCAGCAGGATAGTCATGAAGACCACAACAGAATGGAAAACAAACACAAAACAACAGGTTCCTGACCTTACTTTGAACTAAGACATGGGCATTTTAGCATTTCAAGAAGTTTCTTCACTTGGGGATTGGGGAACATCTAGCCCGCAGGCCATATAAGATCAGGCACTGGTACTTGATGAGATAGACATGGATGCTTTTTTTTTTTGGGGGGGGGGGCTACATTCAGCTGTGGTCAAGGCTTTCTTCTGGCTGTGTGCTCAGAAATTCTTCCTGGTGGTGTTTGAGACATCATATGGGATGCCAGGGATTAAACCACTGTACTATCACTCTGGCCCAGGACACAAATGCTTCTCATTGGCTGCCTGTGATTCATCTGCCTGTATTGTATGACCCACAAATTATGTTCTAAATATCTAACTGGGGGATAGAGACACACCTGGTCACACACCTGGGTGTGACCTTCTCCAAAATACATATCAAACTTTGGAAGAAAAAAGGTTCCCTACTCCAGAAATGAGATTAACAACTGGAGATCATGGGCTCTTTTTTTCTTCTTTTTGTTTTTGGATCATACCTGATGATGTTTGGGGGTTATTTCTGGCTCTGCGCTCAGGAATTACTCCAGGCCATGATTGGGGGATGCCGGGATCAAATATGGCTCATAAGAGGGCAAGGCAAATTCCCTAACCACTCCCATGGACTACTTCTTTATGATCTCCTCCTCCTCCTCCTCCTCCTCCTCCTCCTCCTCCTCCTCCTCCTCCCCCCTCCTTCTCCTCCTCCTCCTCTCCCCCCCTTACACCTGGTGATGCACAGAGGTTACTCCTGGCTCATGTTCTCAGGAATTACTCCTGGCGGTGCTCGGGGGACCATATGGGATGCTGGGAATCGAACCCAGGTTGGCCGTGTGCAAGGCAAACACCCTAGCCTCTGTGCTATTGCTCCAAGCCCCGGTGATTCTTTTTTCTTTCCTTTCTGATCTCTCAGAGCAGATCATGCCTTTATCATGTATCTTGGCATATCCCGTGCTACAGAATATTTCTCTGGTAACATTTCCTCAGCAAAATTAGAGATTCCTGTGAGGAAAGGCGTCATGGACTCTCCTTCTCCCTCACAGGAGAAAGCACAGCCTTCACCTTCTCACCAAATATGTGGTAGGTTTGAGAGAGATTCAAGGATAAATAACCTGAGAGATAGTACAGAGGTTAAGGTATCTGTCTTCCACACAGCCAACTCGGGTTTGATCCCCAACACTGTAAATATTCCCTCCCAAGCCCCTGAGTACAGAGCTTAGAGTAAGCCCTAGCCCCAAAACAAAAACAAAAATTATGAATAGAGGCTGGAGTGATAGTACAGTGGGGAGGGTGTTTGCCTTGCATGCGACAGACCCAGGTTCGGTCCCTGGCAACCCACTGGTCCCCTGAACACCACCAGGAGTAAATCCTGAGTGCAGAGTCAGGAGAAATGCCTGAACATTTCCGGGTATGACCCAAAAAGCCAAATAAATATATAAATAAAAAGGAATTATTTAAATATATATTTAATACACCCACCAACTGCCGTGTAACTCCAACAACGGCCAGGATCCAGAGATTATCACACTCAGCTCCCGGGAGAGAACAAGGCAGAGTCTCCTATCCTGTGCCTGACTGTCTCCACCAGGGCCCAACAGCTGAAGACCTCCGGGGCCCAGCCAGGGCCATGCTGGGACCACTCTCCACACACTTGGATGAGCCTCACGCATAAAAGAACTGGCAGAGGAACCCAGGTGTGTGGGACCTGGGGCTGAGATCTCCAAACCTGCACGGTTTGGGACTGGACCTGCCAGTAACTAGACAGTTACACCCACCAACTGTCGTGTAACTCCAACAATGGCCAGGATCCAGAGATTATCACACTCAGCTCCCGGAAGCGCGCAACATCTTATCATCTCATTCCTACTTTGGACAAACTGGCAGGCTACCGAATGTAACCTGCCACACGGCAGAGTCTGGCAAACTCCCCGTGGTATACCCAATATGCCAAATACCAGTAACAATGATGGGTCTCATTCTCCTAACCCTGAAAAAGCCTTGAATATGGCACTTTTTAAAAAAATCTCAGGGCTAGGACGAAGAAGACGTTACTGGCACCTGCTCGAGGCTATCAACGAACAACAGGGTGGTCGTGATCGTGATCGTGATATATATATGTATATATATATATATATATATATATGGATAAAGCATATGCTTTGCATGTAGGAGACTCAGGTTCTCCTTGGCATCCCATAGACCTGAGCACTACCCGGTGTGCCTCTTACTTCTAATCCATGAAATAAAGATGGGGGGGCTATTTTCCATGCATGTGGCTGACCTACGTTCAATCCCTGGCACCCCATATAGTCCCCTGAGCCCACCAGAAGTGATCTTCCTGAGCGCAGAACCAGGAGTAAGT